CGCCGAAACGTCAGCAATTGTGTTCTAATAAATTCTATATTAACAACCTCGTGTCTGCTTATTGATGAAAAACATTAAATTATTTTTGGTTTAGTTACCCATCTTCGTCGTAGTTTTATGGCATGACCTGGGCGAGCGAGCTCTGTATGTGGGTCACTAGAGATTGTTGTCGTTATTTGAGCGTTTCTTCTTTACTAAAGTGCCATGGTTTCCTTGCTATGGTTTTCTGAAGCCGTCCTCACCGTTGGAAATCGTTTACCGACATCGTTTGGAGATAATTTTGACTCATTTGGACTAAGTTGTTAAAACCTCGGCATCCACTGGAGTAGTTTGCCCCTAGCTAAGTTTTCTTATTGAAACATCATGTTTTTTAGTTCTGAATGCCCTAGTTAAGAGAGATCTGTTCTGTTAGTGGACACTCCTGAACATCTTGCTACACCAAAGCAGTAAAAACTTATTTCAGGCTATTCAGTGTCTTCTTAGCGAAGAAGTTGTCGCCGATGTGGCACCAATCAAGAAAGAAATCGGGGTCAATGTTCAGAAAAACGCCAATGACCTCATAGACTCATGGGTCCTAAAAGCGAGCAACGAGGATGTGCACGATTTAGGTAATATCGAGAATTTACACTGTATTAGGTTTCCAGAGATCTCATCTCTTCTTCTTTCTTCTGTTCCAATCTCATCAGTAGCCACATCCATTTATCATCATGCCATTCTGGAAATTGTTTACATATATCTTCAATGATGCTGAGATATTTGCAAAACTTTGTGTAATTTACACATTATATCCTGTCATGAAAAACTGTGGTAAGCAGAAAATAGAGGGTTAACATTGTGATTTCGACCATGCCCTCGGCTTAACTGGGTTCAATGCTGATGTGGGCTCCCTAGATCAGTTCCGCTGATGGGTGATTGCTGATGGTAGCGATAAATAGAAAACTAACTGAGAGAAACACAGAGGAAAGTCATCCGCGGAGCAGTGTGTAATGCGCGAGCCCCAGGAAAGTGAAGTCGTAGTTCGATCTGACCCGGGATCAAAATTTTGCGAATATCTCAGCTTCGTTGTGGTTGTAATTCACATCATACCCTGCCATGAAAAATTGTAGTAGGCAGAGAATAAAAGGTTAACACTGCATATAATGCTGAGATATTTACAAAACCCCGTACCGCAGGTGTATGCAGTGGGGAACGAACACGCGTTGCTGTCCTTATCGGGGAGCAGCGCACTTCACCACCACACCATCCGCGTGATTCGTTTTGCCTGTCTCTCAACTAGTTCTATCGATCTTTTTGCCATTAGCAATCACCCGTCAACGGGATTGATCTGGGGAGCCCAAATCGGCATTGAACCAGTGAAGCTGAGGCTTAGTTATAATCACAATCTTAACCCTTTTATTTACTGCCTTTTTCTTTTTAATGGCAGGGTGCGTTGCGAAATATAACTCGTATATAATGCTCCAGATCTTCGGTGGAGCACTTGGGGAAATTTATGTGTTGTTTCTATCCAAAATGTATTTAATTAATATTAGTCTCCTACCGAAGTAGCTTAGCAGATCATGAGTTATTTTCTGGATAGCTTTGAAGTCATAGATACTTCATCGTCTACCGTTTAAGTCATTAATGTTTTCTGTTTCAGATTACTTATCGTCCTGTTGAAAGATGAAACTTTAGGTGTCGATAAGTTGTCGGAATGGAATCCGGCAACTGCACGTGGTTGTGCGAACATGCTGTTCGCTCATATGATGCTGAATGTATATGATGTACTCATCGAACATGAGTGGAGCAGGTTTCATGAAAATCAGAGGTATAGTTCACTACGGCAAATTTCGTTGAGTTTATCCATATACCCAGTACTCTTAACAGATTTTGTATCGTAACTCCTTAAGCACTCTAACCGATGTCTCATTTCATTGGTAAGCTGACACGTGATTGTTGTAAAAATTTATTCGGCCACTTATTCTATGTCTTCGCTGCCAACAAAGTTACGTGGTTGCTTATACTGAGATTAAATTAAACTGAGCTTGCAAAGTATTGCTCCAAGTAGTTTTTAAATATGCAGCAAAGATTTTTCAATTTTTTCTGTATATTTGAATGAGCAATGATTTAAGTGTGTGTACAGTTTTGCACCATGAAAACTTTGTTTTTGAATCTTCAAAGTTCAAATCACAAAGCTTTCGGCCTTGATCATTCCCTGAAGGGTGCGCCAGGTATTCGACTTCATTAAGCATGGTTGGAGGTAGGTGACTGAATGCATAATTGGGCTATACTATGACTCGCGGTTCCCTACCGATACAGCGTACCAGTGCTGCTATCGTCCTAGACAGGTCTAGCATCAATTTGCCGACGCGGGACTGATAGAAAACCTGGTGAGTTTAGGGCGCTGTGATCGTTCCCATGTGTACTGCAGGGCGTGTCAGACCACTGCACTATAGGCATGCCGTCTTCAAAGTTATATAATATTAATTCTCTATGTGGTATTAACTTCTTGCTTTCGCAGAACAAACGTGCTTGCTTATTTCTTGTGGTGCCACCATTAGACCCTTGTATAATAAGTTGACCGGTTAGTTCGATGCATAAGTGTTGTAGCTGGTCGGAAACGTTCTGCGTCATGCCGGTCATCGATCTCTGTTTTAGTAGTGAACATTTCCGTTAATCACTCAATACCATAATTGAGAATATTCTTTAAAAGTCATATTTACATGATTTTAAATATTTCTGAGTATTATAAAGTTTTATTTTCTATTTGGTTGAGAAATGTTCCCTTAATAACACAGTGTGACGAATGTCGATCGTATAACTGCTTTATTGGGACGAAGAAAAGAACTGGACGAAGTGCTCCGGGAGAAATGCCTGCGAAGAAAGGAAAGCAAAGGTACTAATTTGCTTCTTTGAAGTTTTCCAAAGGAAAAGAAATCAAGCGAATAGCATACGGTTACAAATCCTGGTCTTACTTCATGCTTGATGTTTCCTAACCTTATATTTATCAGTGGACCTACATTGCCTGAATGTTAACTTCACCAGAGCTGTTAGTTACTTAGTTGACACTCCGCAACCAATTTAATTTTTCTTTGTATTTAAGCCGGAACAACCGATGGTGGGCCAAGTGTGGAGTTAAAACAGGCGGACGTTCTGATAAATTGCTTTTCACTAACGCAGATTTTTGAAACGATTGTACCTCCGTGAGTGGTTATTCGTGTTCTATCCAATGAGAAACAGCCAACGTGTTTCGGAAAATCCTGATGTTTCAATGTTCAGAGAGTCATCTTCGATTGAGGCATTGAACGATTTACGATCTGATCTGCTGGATTGGGCAATCGACCGTATGCTTTCCTTGTCGAAGTCTTTGCTCGATGGTTTTCATCCACTTCATTCCATTTTTTGTGGAACAAACACGTTGACCTCCTCGGCAGGGTTAGTAGGCGTCGTTATTATCGCTCTAATAACCGGATTTGACGTTTGTAGCTATTTTAGTTAAAAAGTAAGCGGTTTTTGAGCTTTGAAGCACAGTGGGGTATCCATAGGTTTTTCCTGTCTTGATATAGGTGTAAAACGCGGGGTTTTCCTCTGTCCAGATGGTAAATGTCTACGTTTGTGGTATTGACGCTATATCGTCTGTCTTCAACGATTTCCACTTTTTAAACAGTTGTTGGGTTATTTCACTTAGAAATACACTTCGAAGTGTTTTACGAGTTCCTGCAGGCTCCTTCTTGATTACTACACCAGTACGAACTGCGCGGATTGGATTGAGTCTCGCGAGCTGGCAAATCCGAGCAAAACGAGGGTATGTGATTTATGAAAAGGCAAATCTTACGAGGTTGCGATTTTATATTTAAAATTGTTATCGTTTTATCTAAATATATCAAGCTGTGTTCTATCTCTTTATTCATATCGGGCAGTACAAGCGAAAAGATTCGAACTCTTTTAACCCAATGTTAGAAATTAGGGGAATCCTAGGAAAACGTTAAGGTACATACTCATAACTCATATGGTCCACATCCACAGATTGTGCTGAGACCAGCACTTCTTCTGAAATTTAAAATAACGTTAAAATGTTTCAACTCTTCAACTCTGTGCAAAGATTTGATACACTCAAACATTCTCGCATGAGGTTCAGGTAATTCCAGAAATGCTGTTATAGTCAGCTTTATGGTTTTATTGACATTCTCTTCTTTAGTTTATTTTTGCGCTTAAAAACAACTCGTTGATTCTAGGCTCTGGAGGCATATGCGAATATTTTACTATATCTGTCAACTAAATATCGAAGTCAACCAATAAAAGTGATTCCTATCTGTAAGTAGAATTCTCCAGAACTTCTTGTGTTACCGTCTGTTGTTTCATATTGTCTTAAAGGGCAGACATTACAATGATTTATCAAGTAGTTGCATCTGGCGTTGGAATACCAATTTTAGGGAAGCGTTCAGACCTGAATGCAACATTGGCAAGAGGTGATGAGAAAACTTTAACCACAAATGGCAGCCTTGTTCGCCACTGTCATTTGTTTGTAACCAAACTTTTCCCGGCCATACTAGCAGTGGATCGCAGGGAAGGCGAGGAGAGGAGACGCATTAGTGTGGAATTAGAACGACAAGCTAAGCTGATATTCAAGGTAGTACAGTCTAGATAACTTCTTATAATTTGTGACTAAGCAATCCACTATTCAATGGTGAGCGCTGAGTGAAGGTGTCCGTGTTGTTAGTCCTGTGCCAATGTGGAAAGAATTTGGCGGACGGTCAAGATTTGGTAGTTTCGTTTGAAAATACAGCATTGATGCGTCATGGATAGTACTTTGAAAGTTTGGCACTTTGCTGCAAAACTGTACTGGCGAAATAACCCTGTAGTGAGAAAGAGTCGTGGACGCCAAGCGCACCAATGGACAGCTTTGTTTACCACCTTTCTATGGTGTCCTTGGGTTTTTTGCATCCTGTAAAAGTTTCCCAACTTTTTTTTACCTGCAGGGATAAGTGCAGGAAAAATTCCTCGTCAGTATTTTCAGTAATTGCTTTCCTTTTAAATTTAGCACTGCTGAGTAGAGCGAGCAGTGCTGATTGCTTTACTTATTGTCTCCACTTTTGGTTTTTCACTTCTATTCAGTTTAGATTTGTTCTGCTTTGATGAAAATGATGGATAGTCCGAGGTGTTTCATGACCATGTTCAAGTTTACTATGGGAATGTTAGAAAAGAACGTCATCGGTTAGTTATGCCTCTCTACAAACAATACATTGCCTAGATGACTAGTTTCATATATTCAGTAGATTTCGCACACGGGCCCCAGTTGTTAATGTTCTTTGGGATAACCTACTTTTGCTGTCAAAACCCGTTGAGTGCTCCGAGTCCTTCTTCATAGTTGGAGCGCAACCGTATCTTTCTAGCTTCGTTAAGGGCTTTGAACTTTTGATTCCAACGTGCTTTCTTTTGGAAATATCACCATATTTCTGCAGCTGCAAGATTTCTTATACTATTTTTAACTACATGGCCCACGGTCACATGCATCACACTGTGCGGATTCCAGCACTCCTTGCATTCCATTCGCTTTCTCGCACTCTTTATCAAAGAACGTCGAACTTCTCGACTGTAGACGTGTGGCTTCAGCTCCTTGTTTGAACGCTTTTTATTTTCGTAACGAATGCTGTTGAATGCTTGTTGTGTCCACACTCCCTGAAATCCTGAGGTAGCCGTTCTTAGACGCTCAAGCGTGGATTTGAAGGAATCGGCTTGTACCAGATTAGTCTGCTAGCTACTAATTTTCTTTCTCTGGTGGAGTGAGAGACTTGGCTTGCCTGGACCATTATCGAATCAGTATCGTGGTAGGCTGGACCTCTCTGTAATGCGGAGTCACTACCGCTGAACAATTCTTCCTAACTGCAATTGAATATTTTAAAAGGAATCGATCATTCCATAAACAGCCTATTCAGTGGTTTTTTGCTACGTACGACAGCCAAAATAAATGCAAACAGAGCTAGTGAAATCTGTGATGTCATGAATATTGCCTCAGTAATACGACTATTCAAAATATAGTAATGAAGGGCTTTTTAGCGAACAACATCACGTTGCGTGAGTTGCTGAGGTGGCTGTGTAATCTGACCATGAAATGTATGGATTCTGATAATGAGGTGAAAGAAGCCCTGAACATTGTAGCGGACAATTTGGTGCAGGTTTTAAGTGAGGAGGTCAGTTTACTTATTCAGATGTGTGGAAATTTCCCGGTTATTCTTCAGCCAATTTTACAAGGTGGTAGCAGTTTTTATGGAGGTGCCATTCTGAAGTTTTTTTTGTTGTCTTCGACAGTTTTAACAGTACTACAGGAGTGTTTTGCTCTTAGGGCGACGAGTGTAAATACAAATTCGTCGAGGACGCTTCAAAGGCAACGATTTGCGACTTTCTGGCGTCCTTGATTGACCGATCACTGGTGGGCGTTCGCAGTGTGATATCATTTGCTAGCGCTTTCCAAGCGAAGGATCAAAGAAGTGAATTGTTTAGTATTGAATTTTTCTAGAAATTTCTTAAGAATAATTCTTTTTCCATTGTTTTGTGTTTTTGGTGAATATCCGTAATACCTCTAAGTCTAATAGACAGACCTTTGTGTTCAAAAATATATCTAACTGATTAAATTTGTCAAAGAGAGATGCCACCTAAGGAGGAGTTGATAGGTTTTAGTTAGTGTTATGTAAAGTTAAATAGTCGATTTGAGGCTTATTTATGTGCTTTTGTATCAATAATATTGCTGCTTCTAGTGGATGAGGTGCTGACGGCCACACTAACAAAATGCAGTCACTGTTGCCAGTTAACATCGCGTCTGCTTCCACTTCACGCGCAGTTCGCTGTAGAGCGGGAACGACTCGTTCAGACGCTCACTGCTCTTTTCAGTGCAATTCAAATGCCTGTCGATTTGGTTAGTGCTTCGAAGTATGGTTCAAGTCAGTTTTCTTTATTTCAAACTGCATCCTTACTTGGATACTTGGATGGCCCGTCTTCACTTGTTGTGTAGGCCGCAGCACAATTACCATTTTTCGGAATTGTTTAGCAATTGTAATTTCGTGCAGTTCCAAGGTCAGCCAAGCTGAAGTCTGCCCCAGGTCGTCACCAACACAGGCAGTTACGACCCATGTGGACCAGAAGGAGATTTACCACCATGCAACGAGTTTGATACCAGGACGATGGTGGATTCCGGTTTTGGTTTCCTCTTAGCTGTTATTCCTGATGGAAACGTCCGGCCCCTTCTCATCTTGGAAGGCTCTGCTGGATAGATGAACATGCAGCTTTACATCGGAGTCAAACACCTAGGAATACCTCCCAGCGACGAGGAGGCGATAAACCGTTGCGAGATTTCAGAGCACGTGCTTAGTGTTGACTATCCAGGGACATTTTCCAGCTTCAGTGTAAAGTAGCTAAGCACTGGCGAGATTGCGGTTTTCACGGTTTCTAATTGTTGCTCCTTTTAACAAACATATCTAAACTCATGTTGAGCTTTTTGGTTGAAATAAAATTGATTTGAATCTATATGTTTCTACCTATAACCACACAAGTTTTATTATTTGGCAATAATAAAATCCGGCTTTTTGAAGCTCAATAATTTTTTTTGCCCTTCTCACATAGGTTCATTTGAGTGACTGAACAACAGGTGACTGAACAGAGGATGTATCGTCCCACTGGGTCGATTGACGTACGGAAACATCTTACGGCTATCACACTGCTGCATCAACTTTTATGCGAATTGATCCACAAATGTGGAGGCTTAGGTTACTTGTAGAACACCAGTTTAAAGAGAAAAAATAGCTTTTGCAGATGTTGAACAACGTCAAAACTGTGCCAGAGATGGTAGAATGGAAGTCGTTAACTTTGCTTGGCAAGCTGCTGAAGGAAAGGGTTCGTGTTGAGTAATTCCTATTCCGTTTGAATTCCGATTCCATGTAGATGTCAATTCTATCCCCCTTTGTCGTTAACGCATTTTCTTCTGTTTTAGTTACAAGCAATTATGGCAATTGCCGATGAGCATGTTGGGATTTTCAAACCTGAAGAAGCGCGGAGCTCTAGTAAGAAAAGGTTCGACACTCTTAGTATTCGTTTATGGAGTGGCATGTGCTTAGAATAACCTTTATCTATGTCTACCATTATTTAAGTGTTCGAAAAGACGAAGTGACCTACGTAAAGTATGTGCGAGCTCGTGAAGCACTTCAGAGTCGAATTCTACTGATGTCAGAGGCACTGAAGGAGGACCGGCTTAATTTTCAAGTCAAGGTAGATTCGAAAGGCCGACTTTCTATAAACCTCGGCATAGATGGTTGACATATTTATTTATGTGATCTTGTAAACTGATCTTCTTAAGCTGACGCGAGGTTGGTACAGATCTTGGTTGTCGTTGTCGTTATTTTTGATGTTATTGATCGATTGCCGGCGTTTCGGCGACTTCGCCTTCCTCAGAGCCTGGACGTATTTAATATTAGAATGTTCTTATTATTCGGTGGAAAAGAAAGGTTAAAGTGTTAATGAAGATCAAACTTTAAAATTTGAACGACAACGAAGATCTGCACCAACCTCGCGTCAGCTTAAGAAGATCAGTTTATAACATCACATAAATAAATATATCAAGGTAGATTTATTTTCAATGATGCTGAGATATTTGAAAGACTCCGGACCGCAGGTGTATGCGGTGGGGAACAAACGCGCTATTGTTCTTTCCGGGGAGTAACGCGTTCACCACAACACCATGCGGGACCTTCGTTTCGCCTGTCTCTTAGCTAGTTCTATCGATCTTTGCGCAGCAATCATCCGTCAGCGGGATTGATCTGGGTGGCCCAAATCGGCAACGAACCCAGTTAAGCTGGAGCTGTAATTATAATCACAATTTCAACTTATTTTTGGGTGACTGCTGTGGCAAAGATCGATAGAACTAGCTGAGAGACAGGCGAAAGGAAGGATCCGCATGGTGTGGTGGTGAACGCGTTAGTCTCCGGAAAGGACAATAGCGCGTTCGTTCCCCACCGCATACACCTGCGGTCCGGAGTTTTGCAAATATCTCAGCATCATTGAAGTTATATTTCGCAATATACCCTGCCGTTAAAAAAAGAGTAAGCAGTAAATAATAAGTTGAAATTGTAGACTTATTTTATCAAACATACTTGCGAATTTCGTCTAAAAGCGTTTTGTGGAAAGAGAGATAGATGCAGGCAGTGATAGTTACACTCTTTGAGTTCATTGTAACAAAACAATTTGAAATGTTCTCATGTGCTTGCAAACTTAAATAGGGTACCTTGGCGCTGTGTAAAAATGTCCCATCATTTCTTTTGAGAGCACATGAAGAGCTGATTTTCCATGAGAGTAACTGTATAGAAGCACTACAGCAGGGTGACGCATGGTCACTTATGTGGAATTGATTCGTAGATGGCCTATATTTAAGCTGTGCAGGCTATGCCTTTTCTTAGAAAATGTTAGAGCTTAAGTGGAAGTGATAAGTTTGAGTTCCCATAGCATCGCTTCGTTACGTCGTTATGTTCCTCTATCGTTCATGAACTCTCTTAAGTAGTGCAGGAAAATTTGTTGTGACGTTTATGGTACTCATGAGGTGGAAAATAATTTTGACTAGCCCTTACTACTACTTTGTTCACGATTCGGGATGTACTTTAGAAAGTAATGTGTAAAATTATAGACTTGTTAGGCTCACAGCAGCCTTCTTTTTTGTTCCAGAAGAATACGATTGGAATGCGTGATTTCCGTATAAACCTGAAGGCACTAAAAACACGTGTAGTACAGAATGAAGACGAAAAACCAAGGAGAAAGAAAATAAAAGCAACACAAACGATGGGAAGATCAGACGAACAAGAAAACGAGGAGTCGATGAAGAACTCTGATGAGGAAGATGGGATAACGGTTGGTGACGGGAAGGATACCAGTGAGCAAAGTGTAGTCTACTGATTTACTAATCTTTTGTGGTTGTTGCCTTTTCTACGGTGTTTAGTCATGGGTTTTGAGCTATACCGACCCCTCTGCAGATTTCTACTGCAATGTCGTATTGTTGTACTGCCGTAAACAGTGAACAAGTACTTGATTTGGGTAAATTGTAGATCGAGCCTTGTGTGCTAAATGGTATTCTGTAATTTTACAGTGTTGTTAATAATACCTTTTGAATAAAATATTAAAGAGGATAATGTTATTTTGTGCGGATTAACTAAACAAGTGCGGCTAAGAAGAAGCTTGCATGCGAGAAGTGTGTTTTATATTTCTTCTATCATTAGACGCATGGTAAGATAGGTATGTTCCAAGTCGTGCTTAGGTTAGATTTCAACTCACAAATGGGTCCATGATTTTACTGCTTGCTGAAAGCCTTCCCCCGAATGAATGTACGTCCCGAAGAAACTAATAAAAACCCGACGCTTCAGTACTCAGATTGTGAATCGTAATTGATGTACTGTTTCGAATTTTTCTCGTATTATAACTGTTACTACGAGAAAATGAAAGAGTTGGAGTTTTCATTGCGTCGTTATTCGAAAGGAGAGAAGTTTCATGAGAAGTCCAATGAAATGCGACACTTTCATACCTGAACTGTAATCCGGGATTGATCTAGCATTCATCTTTTTCTTAGTGGCATGACTTTTCACCTATGGCAGGAATACGGTCAGCCAATTTACCATATGGCGCATAAATGGGAATTCTCAGTAGTCTGTGGTGTGATGAGATTTGGTGTCTTGAAATTTTAAAAACAAGCTTTGGAAAGAAGGTCTAGAGATTTTTGAGGTGGTACTTTCAGTTTCCTGTTCAACTTCAAAATATAGACTTCTTCCAAATAGCATTAGTCAAAGCGCTGTCTTCATAGGTCCATACGAAGATGTCATTATACTGTTTATTGTACACCCATCAAGGTCCACTGTTTTCGTGATGAGCAAACAAGAGGTAGCCACTTTATTCTTTAATGACAGAGAAGCTGACGTTAGGGAGAATTTCGTCTTTTTCAGAGCATGGAAAACTCAAATCGACACCCGCAGTCCACAAGACGAAACCGTCGGAACTCAGCTACTTAGTACTAGTAAACTGTATAGTAGCAACATCGTTTTTCCAATTCGACCGAAACAGTGAATCATTGATTAGCGTCGAGTTCAAGACAACGCCGGTCTTGGAATTTGCTCCCAGACTGATATTTCAAGGTGGGAGGCACACTGAGCTTCCATTTGGGGTCTATACGAGGCCTCCACCTGAAATACTGTGTGGAAGACTCTTAGAAAGCGGTGAATGTGTGAAGAAGCTGCTTTGTTTTTAATGCGACTGGAATCTATGCTTCGCGAGGATTTTTCTGCTGAGGCTATGAACGCGCTTGGTTGAATAGATTGGAAGAAATTAGACCTATACAAGCTCTGAAGGAGAATCAATCCGCCGAAATGTCAGTACCTGTGAACAAAAGCTGTAGTAACAATCTCTTATGTACTTNTGTACTTATGAAGAAAACAGAGAATTATTGTTCAACGTCGGGATCAACAGAAAGGTGGTCTCCGGTTCTACCTTTAGTTAAGCTCTTTGCCGATCTAGAAGTTAATATGTTTTTCGAACTCTTCTTTATACGTGCATATGAGGTTGTTCAGATATGTGGCAACAACTTCCGCAAATAGCGTAGTAGCAGAGTCGACGTTTAATGTTTGAAAAGATCAGGGTCGATGTCATATCTTAACAAGATCCTTTCCGGGTTAAGTGAGTGGCTACAGTCGTATCTGAGGAGCACCCCTTCTCTATAAGAACCGCTGGAATGAGAACGCCCGCGTGGATCCTCCAGGTTTCCACGGAGAATCAACTTGACCAGTATTTAGCGACATTTATAATGAAAATAAAAATTCCGTAGGTATCCATATGCAAATGCGAAAGCCTTTGTGGATGACAAATGCGGAGAAACGAATTAAATGAAAGAAGTGCAATATTGTGAAATCGTTACCATACTACTTGTCTGGGCCTGGCTCAATCCCTCCAACCCATGTAAATGAACTCGCTTTTCCAAGTATTGCAAGAGATAATCGGCTCGACAACATTCAGCAGCATCCACTAAGAAGAGAGCAATCCTCAAGAGGCGGCTTAACATTACTCGAAAAGTTCGAATACCTTTATGGATGATGGATGCGAGGAAACAGATCGAGCTCAACAATTCTGGCACCCCATACAGCGTGCATGAAAGCAAGTCATCCAGGGATTTGAATGTCGTCCAAGGATTCCGCAGGCATATGTTAGCGATGGGAACAAACATTCCTTTATCTCATGGCACGGCTAGAGTGAAAAACCGCCCTGATGAAAAGCAAGGCAAGGGTCTAGGACCGTGCAATGAATAACACGTGAGTCCCCGGAAAGGATAGTCGAAGGTTCGAACCTGGCCTGGAATCTGAGTTCTCCAAATAGCTCAGGCTTCCATATCATTGGGGCTGTATTCCTTTATCTACTAGATCCATTCTTCCATGTACTCGTACGATACTCAGGTAATACACGTCATCGAGACTATAATTTTCTAAATTTCACCTTTATAGGCGCAGCGATGGTTGAGTGAATTGGGGTCCCACAACGATTTCACAACGGTAGTGATTGTTCGATCTATTGATCCGCAAGTGAATTTCTGCCGGATGAAAATTTTTTGAGCTTCTAGAACTTTCTCCTAAGAACCTCATTGGCTATGGCTGCATACATTATATCGGATAACTGTTTGTGTTTTTATAAGTTAAGTTGGAACTGTCTTGCATCTTTATCGTTTAGATCAACATGGCTATGAATGGAGTCTTTGACTTCGACGACCAGGAATAAATACGTCAGTGAAGTCGTAGTGTTCGGGTCGGTTCACTTTATGATTCATCCATGATTTGGTCGTAAACCTTTCTTTTGACTTCACATGAATCCTCTTTAATCTATTCATCGATGCTGTGTTTATTTCGCACCATGTTGTGGTTTTCGGAGGGAGAGAGTTACACTAGGAACAATAAACCTTACAGCATTTGGTGAAGAGTTGTCTGTTCATGTAGGATATAGCGAATTGGCACAGAGAAAACACGCATGTACTCGATGGCAGTCAGCTACGCCTTCACTCTTGCTACTTTATCATTTTAGATAAAGGCGGCTAAAGTTCCTACTAAGTACTTATTATCGAGAAATAAACAGCTGGGGTTCTGGACAATTAGTTGCTACTTTCAGAAAGCAAACATCTAACGTTTTGATGAGGTGCTTACTACTTTCATAAAACGGACATGGAATGTACGATGGAGACCTTCTAGTGGTATGAAGGAACCGGAGAGCGCAACCATATGAGTGGCGATTCAATGAATAGCGAAATAAGCATAAAGGCAATTTGGAGTTCAACAAATATGCTGTGAAGTAACGTAGTTTCTGAGTAATCGCTGTCTTTGTGACAGCCAAGTGTGACAGTGTCACTGTAATGCTTCGTGTTTCCCACATTTGAAGTAGAGATTTAGTTTTTTTAGGGATTTCCTGGTAAAAGGTACCGAATCGCATGATAACTTAGAAAGGTGAGGGTTTAAAATGAAGAACAGCGATGGGTGGAAAGGTAACCTTGTCTCCTCGTAGAGGAGTTATTTTTTGCCTGCCTGTTCTTTTTCATGGTAGGTTATGCTGTAAAATATAACTCCGATTTAAACCGTTTTATTTGCTACCTACTACAATTCTTTACGGCTTAGTATTATGTGAAATTGAACCACAATGATGCTGATATATTTGTAAAACTTCGAACAGCAGGTATTTGGGAATCGAACACGCCATTACTCTTTCCGAGGACTAACGCGTTCACCGCCACACTATGTGGGCCCTTTATTTCTCTTGTCTCTATAGTAACTGTTTTGTGAAGTAACTTCTTGAATCTTGACGAAATCGCTGCATCTCGAAAAGGTTATCAAGAAATCCTTGTCATTAGTCGATACAGATTTTCAAGGTTCGTNAGCCAAGTGTGACAGTGTCACTGTAATGCTTCGTGTTTCCCACATTTGAAGTAGAGATTTAGTTTTTTTAGGGATTTCCTGGTAAAAGGTACCGAATCGCATGATAACTTAGAAAGGTGAGGGTTTAAAATGAAGAACAGCGATGGGTGGAAAGGTAACCTTGTCTCCTCGTAGAGGAGTTATTTTTTGCCTGCCTGTTCTTTTTCATGGTAGGTTATGCTGTAAAATATAACTCCGATTTAAACCGTTTTATTTGCTACCTACTACAATTCTTTACGGCTTAGTATTATGTGAAATTGAACCACAATGATGCTGATATATTTGTAAAACTTCGAACAGCAGGTATTTGGGAATCGAACACGCCATTACTCTTTCCGAGGACTAACGCGTTCACCGCCACACTATGTGGGCCCTTTATTTCTCTTGTCTCTATAGTAACTGTTTTGTGAAGTAACTTCTTGAATCTTGACGAAATCGCTGCATCTCGAAAAGGTTATCAAGAAATCCTTGTCATTAGTCGATACAGATTTTCAAGGTTCGTCGATTTTGCCTTGATGAAATTTAAGAACACGTTCCGCCATAATTATTCCGTCTTTGTGTGCCATTCTAAAGCACATTTCTTGTCCAACCATCTGCCATGTGGTATTTTTCAAAGCTTACGTTAAAAGGATGCCTTCAAAGCACGGAAATCTCATAATTCTGCTCCTTGGGCTTAAACATGGGCACGAAGCAACGGTGCCAATTCGAAATGTTAACACTCATACATGCACCTGGGATATGCTTGTGAACATGTACTGCTTTGACGATTCTTAACGTTTTGCACCGTTGATATGCGTCTTCGTGACGGAGATTCGATGAGCATTTCCTACGTAGCAACTGACGAAGCGCAGTTCAATGATTGCATCAAGATGGAGCTCCTCCACGTTCTCCAAAGCCTAATTCGCACCAAAAGATTTTTATGATGACATTTTCGTTTTCGGCACAAGAGGGTATCATCTAGAAAGA